AGAATCCGACATATTTATAACCTATTTTATACCTATTTTTTCTCTATTTAGCCCTATTTTCCGTATTTTTTCAAAAATATGACTATTTTATTACTATTTATCAAATTTCATAAAATAGTATATGACTATTTACATCCTATTTAAAATATAGGTTATTTATATTTTTCAAAAAAATAGCTTTGAAATAGATATTCAAATCCTATTTGAAAGAGTAATTGACGGAATCTCACTATAAAATAGCTTTTAAATAGCTATTTAATTCCTATTGATGACAGACAAGTCAGTTAAAATAGTTTTAAATAGCTATTTTTAAACTATTTTTGCTTATCTTCTTTGGAGCCATTCTTAACATAGTTATTAAATAGCAAAATAAATAGATCTTAAATAGCTATTTAATTCCTATTCATAGGAAGTTGTGGCGAACTTTGTTCAAAATAGCTATAAAATAGCTATTTTTAAACTATGTTTGCTTTTATTTTTGGAGATATTATTGAGTATTGTTAAAATAGTTATTAAATAGGAAAATAAGTAGATCTTAAATAGCTATTTAATTCCTATTCATAGAAAGTTGTGGCGAACTTTGTTCCAAATAGCTATTAAATAACTATTTTAAAACTATGTTTGCTTTTATTTTTTGAATTTTTAGAGCGATTCTTAGAATAGTTATTAAATAGCAAAATAAATAGATCTTAAATAGCTATTTAATTCCTATTCATAGAAAGTTGTGGCGAATTTTGTTCAAAATGGCTATTAAATAGCTATTTTTAAACTATGTTTACTTTTATTTTTAGAGCTATTGTTAAAATAGCTAAAAAATAGCAAAATAATTTGATCTTAAAAGCTATTTATTTCCTATTCAAAAAGAAAGTTGTGAGAATTTAGAAAGGGTAAATGTATTTATTTAACTGGTCAAAATTTCCCAGTTTGAGTTAATTAATTTTAAATTTTTCGTCAGTTCATTGAAATTATATTTACAAAAATATTTATAGTCTTTGCGGACTTTGTGGAGGTAGGTATTTTGTCTCTTGACAAAACAGCATTTTTGACAAAACACCATGAGTACCACCAAAAATTCTCACGACGAGCGCGGTTTGACAGACTGGTGCCTAATTTTCTTACAACGCGCTCAAAGCTTTCTGGGATAGCGTCACAATTCACACCGCCATATTTTAAAATATTTTTAGTTTAAACTTTCCGCTCGAAATGGCTCAAATACAGAGCTTTTATTGAGCGAAAATGTTATTTACTTTGAATATAAAAGATCAGGGATGACTGGATAACATTCAGGTAAGAATTTTGTTATGTTTTATATATGATAGAGCAATTTTGAAAGGAAATATTTGCTATCTTCATTCGTGAATTTTGAGCACATGTTCCGGCTTAAAATTTCAATTTGCTACAACAATATTTCAATTAAAACAACATTAGTTTTATAGAATGGCTTACATTTGACTCAGCCTTTATATTTATAAATGATGTTTATTGTAATGCCAAATAGTATACTTTGATCTTTGTGTATACTATAGTGTACATGACAGATTGCAGATACAGCTTGACATGATGGCATCTACTCAATTCTCATATGCCTACCCAGACATGTCCCAGCTAAACATGGTTTGAGAAAATTTATCGACTGGTTTCAAATTAACTGGTACTTTCATAAGTTTCCAATATTTATTCATATATAGGTGGGTCAGTTTAGAATAGATAAAAATATCAATTTGATGTGTTGTTGTCATATGTGGCAACTTGATTATAGATGTGTCCCTAACTGGAAACAGTTAAAGTCCTTAGTTTGCTTGTTCAAACTTATGAATACATTTAGTTACACCACATGTCTTCATGATCTGCTTAATAATATATGTAACAACCTTTGGGCTTCAATTTAAATATTTTAGAGACACTCCGGCAAGGATTTGATTGTTTTGGAATTACCCATTTCACTCCAATGAGCCCCTTTGTTATTAAATGTTATCTTGCCTAATGCCGGACAATTTTATTTGTCAAGGGAAGTGTCTAGCTAGAGTGCTAGACTCTGCCTATGTTTCATGTTGACATATAACACTTCCTACTTAAGTACTTTGATATTATTATTTAACTCTGACATTTCATGGTAGACAATTTTAATTTACTTACCGACTGTGGCATGCTGGCCCATATCTCAACTAAATATTACCTATAACACCTATAAAGGAGCAATTTCCTCTTATGTTACCTACTTGAAGTTCTTTGTAGGAGTGCGCAAGATAGAATGTTTTTTGCTATCCAGCTACATACAGGATATATGCTGGATAATTGAAAAATATCCAGCTAGATTCAGGGTATTATTCAAATATATAAATGTTTTTTCTAACCTGTAAAGAAGGCCTGAACTTAGCTGCAGCCGAGCTTCGCCCTATTCTTGATGTTACATGATGTTCTTGCTTTTCTTCTGCCCAGTCCCCAGCCAAATTACTGGGCATGTAGTAAAACACCGACTACCGGAACACCGGAACACCACCGAAACACCACCGGAACACCACCATTTTGTTTGGGGTTAGGGTTAGGGTTGGGGGTTGGGGTTAGGGTTAGGGTTAGGTGGTGTTCCGGTGGTGTTCCGGTAGTCAGTGTTTTACTACATGCCAAATTACTGTATGTATATACTAAACTCCTTGGCTACTATAGAGACAGCTAACTACAGATTTTTAACTCATTTATTGACAGACCTCTACCTACTGATAAGTAAAATTGTCTGGCATTTATAGACGATAAATACTAAAGTAGGTCTGTAATAGCCTCTGATGTTTCAGCACTTCTACACTTGTTCTCAATTTCTTTTACTAATTATATTTTATTTAAAGACTATTTACATTATATGTTTTAACTTTTTATTATCAATGTTTTAACTACTGTTATTTATAATATACAGTATTTTAAAAATATTTATAGGCTATATGTATTTGTATACACTATATTTAATAGCTATTTTAACTGTATTAACAGGACATATTTTTAACTATTTATTTAATATGTTATTACTATTTTTTTAACTATTTTTAATATATTTGGGCAATATTATATCCATTTTTATTTATTATCTATTTTTAACAAGCTGGGATGTATTTTAACTATTTATTATCTATTTTTAAACTATATTAACAAGCTATGTATTTTAACTATTTATTATCTATTTTTAAACTATATTATCACTATTTTTGAACTATTTATTATCTATTTTTAAACTATATTATCACTATTTTTGAACTATTTATTATCTATTTTTAAACTATATTATTACTATTTTTGAACTATTTATAATCTATTTTTAAACTATAATATCACTATTTTTGAACTATTTATTATCTATTTTTAAACTATATTATCACTATTTTTAGCTATTTATTATCTACGACTATTTTAAACTTAGTTGAAACTCATTTCAGCTATTTATTACATATTTTTTACCTATATTGTAACTATGTTTTAACTATTTCATACATATTTATTAAATATGTCGAAACTATATATTTTTAATAATTTCCTTAAATAGCTCTATTTTTATCATATTTGAAACCTATTTAATTTCTATTCGAGTTAACATCAATTAAGTATTTGTTTAGAAATATATCATGAATAGGAAAAAAATATGGTTCCACTTGGATAGGAAAAAAATAGCCTTTCTACCCTAATTTAAATAGGAAAAACCTCGAAAAAAAATATTAGTAAAAATAGGGAATAAATACTTTGACAAATAGGAATTAAATAGTCCAATAAAATAGGAATTAAATAGCAATTAAATAGTGTTTGATACTACAAGGGGTAACATCAACCACGCCATATCAAACGTAGTGAAGTGATTCTAATTAACCACAGTTAATAGAATAGATGGTTTGGAAACTCAATAGAATAACAATACAACAGGGTTTATTTTAACGTGCAGTTCTACACCAAATGTGCAGTTCTAAACCCATTTGTGCAGTTCTTAAAACACAACTGTGCAGTCACCAAATTAACAAAAATAGCCTTAATTAAAACAGTGCTTCATATTGAATATCCTAGATCAGGACTCGAAGATTGGTATAACAATAACCATTTAATATAATTATAAATATGTACAAACTTTAGTCAGTATTCAAAATATAAAGCGAATAAATTGTTTTACTTATTACAAACCCACGCCATCGTGAACAACATCAAAAGTCACGTGATAATCTACTGTCCAGTTATATATGCAGTTCAGTGTTTCGAATATAAATCTAACATAAAGTATAGCACACTCCCCCCGTTGATCACCCAAGTGGTGATCGACTAATTTCTGTTTATAACTGTTCGTTTCGTATCAATTCTCTTCGTTTCTCTGTAGCCTTGATTGCTGCTGCGCGTCGAGGTCTCTGAGTTATAGACTCTTCTTTCTGAGGTTGGATTGTTGTTGAGCCCCTGCCTACTTTCTGTTGGGTTATGTCTTGATTACCTATTTCAATTGAGTACAGCTTTTGTATAGGACGCCGAAGCGTTGTTGGTTTCTTACCTCTCTCAGCGACTTTCACTTTAGCTCCACGAACCTTACCATCATTACCACGAACTAAGTGCATCACTCTGCCAAGTCGCCAAAGACTTCGAGAACGGTTTTCGTCATGCACGATTACGATATCATTTATCTTTATCAATTCTTTACTCGATTGTACCGATTTCCTCTCTCTATGCGCTTCTCTCGATTCCAATAAATACTCGGTTTTCCATCTTCTCCAGAAATGATCTAGTAGAGAAGCCAAGTGCCTTTCTCGTTTTGCAATATCCTTTGACGTTAGTTCCCAATCTTTGTCTTTCACTTCGTCTTGCGTTGGCAAGGAAAGAAGTCTTCGACCATGCATGAGATGTGATGGTGTAACGGGTTCTTCGCAATCTTCTGTTGATGTATATGTTAGTGGTCTCGAATTCAGAATGGCTTCTATCTCGACAAGTTCCGTAAGGAGTTCTTCATACGTAAGTCTCGCGTTCCCTAGTGTTTTACGTAGACATCTTTTCACTGATTTGATCATTCTTCCATAGAATCCACCCCACCAAGGGGCCTTTTGGAGGATAAATGACCACTTGATCTTTGATGAGGTGAAATGTTTAATTATTCTTGGGCATTCAAATAGAGACATAAGTTTTCGCGAAGCCGATTTGAAGGTTTTTCCATTGTCTGATATAACCAGTGATGGTACTCCTGTTCTAGCGCAAAATCTCTGAAAGTTTCTTAGAAAGGCTTCGGTTGACATATCAAGCACCAGGTCGAGGTGTACCGCTCGAGTTACTCAACATGTGTACAATGAGATCCGTATCTTCGAATCAGGATTCTTTACATATAACGGTCCAGCGAAATCTACGCCGGTGTTAGCGAACGGAAAGTTGTCTTTCACACGACACTCTGGCAATGGAGGAGGTGATGGCGCACGGTAGGGTTCTCCTTCTTGTTTTCGGCAGACGACGCATTGATAGATGACGCTTCGTATGTACTGTCGGCCTCTAACTATCCAAAACCGCGACCGTAATTCAGTCAAGGTTGCCTTCGTTCCGCAGTGCTTCACTCTTTCATGGCAATATCTTACGATAAGACGTGTTAGCTGATGTCGTGGATCGAGCAAGATAGGATGCTTCGCTGACTTGTTAATATTGGCATTTTCCAATCTTCCACCGCATCTAGTTACCCCCTTCTCGTCGACAAATATTCCAAACTGCCGTCTCCAATCTTGATACTTCAAATGTTCGGGAAGTGATGTTTGCATTTCCTTTAGCCAGAGCGTTTCAGCTTCGTTTATCTCTTCAAGCCAAGAATTCTTCAACCTTTCTCGGGATTTATCAGCTCTTCTCTTCACGTTGGCCTTCAATTTTCGAACAAATCTTAGTACATACACCGTAACTCTTAGAAGCCGATGGTAATTCGAGAATGTTGCAATGTTCATTAATTCCTTTATACCTTGACCTGTCGCTTCGGCTACCAGCGCAGTTGGTGAATGGTGTGGCTTCTTCTTCAGCTCTCGTAAACATTCTTTCGAAGGTGAAGGCTCGTCTATCAATTTGTCGTTAGGTTGCAATTCTTCTGACAGCCATGGGGTCCATTTCGCCAGACTTCACACTGTCCGAGCTCTAAACACTTTAAAATGCTTCGAGTTGGGATGTCTGCTGGATTATCTACGCCGGGGCAGTGTCGCCATGATGATGAACAGATAAGACTTCGAATTTCATTAACTCTCAGCTGGACAAACTGTTTCCATTCTTTCGTTTCGCCTCTTATCCAATATAAGCTGACCAACGAATCTGTCCAACATACAACATTTTCATCCAGTTCTAGAACAGATTTGAGTGCTTCATAGGTATTCTTCATAAGTCGTCCAAGGATAACTGCAGATAAGAGTTCTAATCTTGGGATCGTTTGTTTCTGACTCGGTGCTACTCTTGTCTTCGCTGTGACAAATGTTGCATATCTCCGCGTTGTGGTCGTAACTACAAGGTACACCACAGCTGCATAAGCTGAAATTGAGGCATCGCAGAACCCGTGAAGTTGGCGAGCTAATACCTTCTCCTTAATGTGCACAAAATAGCATCTAGGCAGTGTCATTGGTTTCGTTTCTTGCAAATCACCAACAAGTTTTAACCACTTCGATTTCAGTTTCTCGGTTATGGGTGCATCCCATTCAATTCATGGGTGCATCCCATTCAATAATAGCTTCATTTGCACAATGATGGGTGAGATAAATCCAAGAGGATCATAGAATTTCGATGCGATACTGATTATATTCCTCTTCGTTGGTTCGCATTCCTTTGCTGCCTGAGCAATTGGTCCCAAATCAAACACAAAACAGTCCTCTTGATAGTTCCATTTAACTCCTAAAATCTTTTGTTCGCATTTCTCGACTGGTTCAGACAAGTTACCAGTTGTCTCCCTTGTGTATGACTGGTCATGTTCCATTCTCAATGTTTGGCTTGATCTCGATTCACCTTGATTAATACCTTCACTGGTTTGGAGGGTATCTTGTTCATCATTGCAGTCTGCAAGCAATTGGGCTTCATTCTCACTTATTCGGTTCATAACTTTCTCAAGTTAAAACCTCCTTCTGCGAGTCGAAGCTTCGATTTCTTGTAAAGCAGGAACGCTTCATCGTCGTTTTCATCACCTGCGTTTAAGTCGTCAACGTAAATGGATTCAAGGAATTTTTCAACAAATTCTGGGTCAATGTTTCGATACTGTTCCATATGGTGCTTAACTGTTGCGTTCAGGAGGAAAGGACCTGAGGAAACTCCAAATACCACTCTTGTAAACCGTAGCGTTGTAATCTTTGGGTTGGGATATTTAATGTCGTCCACCCATAAAAAACGTAGGACATCTCGATCGGATTCTTGGATCTGCAGCATAAGAAAGGCCTTCTCAATGTCCCCAACAAGAGCAACTTTGTGACAACGGAACCGAAGAAGGATATCAAGTATGTTTTGTGCCAATACAGGACCTGTGTATAGACAGTTGTTCAAAGATGGGCCATTGTCCTTTGCCGAGGCATCATATACAATTCTCATCTTCGTTGTGGATTTGTCTCTTCGTATTACTGCGTGGTGCCTAAGGTAATGGACCTTACCAACTTCTCCAGGATGTAGCTCATCGACCACTTCCACAATTCCTTCCTTTAGTTGCACCTTTATGACACTGTCATACTCTTGCAGTATCTCTGGATCCTTTCTCAATCGTGGCAGTAGATGCTTCAACCGTTTTTCGCTCAGTTGTGGTTGTCAGGAAGGACAGGATGAGATTTATTCCATGGCAATTCCACTTCGTACCGTTTATCTTTCAGCTTGATTGATTGTGTGAATTTCTCATAGACTGACTCGTCATTGGGGAAAACACCTAATGATTCTAGTTCCCAGAATCTTCGTAATTCTTGTGTCATATCTGTTGCATCAGGGGTCAGTGGTTGTGTTGCAAACTTCAGAACATGCGTGTTCACCAAGTTAACACTGGTTTTCTCACTCACAGGATCTGTTACAGGACCAGATAGAACCCAGCCGACCTTTGTTCCCATTGCGTTGGGTCCAGAATTTCCCCGTCTAACTGCTCCAGTTATTAAATTCCAATATCGATCAGATCCCACCAAAATATCAACTTCTAACTCTTCTTCGCCAGTATTAAGATCTGCAAGATTAAGACCTTCGAGATGATGTTAAATATCCTGTGCCGCTTGGGTTGTTTGGTGTCTGAGGGGTTGACAAATTGTGGGTACTGCAAATGCTGTAAGTGAAAGATCGGGATAAGTAGATTCTGTCTCAATGTTGAAGTGCAGAAATTCACATGTTTGTAATTCCTCTGCTTCGCCTCCGAATGTCTTAATCATGAGGTTTTCTGTCCCTTCTGCATCAAGGTTTAATTGATTCTTCACTCTGGTTGTCACGAAAGAACGTTGGCTCCCACTATCCAGTATAAGTCGAGCATTTATTCTGTTTTCCTGCATTCCGGGCTTGTATATGTTGACCTTCGCTGTCTGCAACAAGATAGATGTTCTTGTGCCAACATACATGGTTTGACTTGTAGTAGCTTGTTGCTGTTGTTGTTGTTGATCTCTTTCTCTGTTCGGTTGTGCTGGTAAGTTCTTGCTACCAATTCCGGTTTCGTCCCTTTTCTCAGTCTCTGTTGCGGGCTGACGTGGATGCCGAGGCTCTTGCTGGTTGGTTGGTGGGTCAGAATTACGGTGTTGTTGTCGGGGTTGGCCGCCCATGCACAGACTTCCATGATGTCGTCTACCACATTTAAAACATTTGATGTTCGGTTGGCATTCCCTACCAATATGGTTTTTCCTTAAACATACAAAACACCGTCCACTTCGTTTCAGAATATCTCTCCTTGCAACCACATTGGTCACTGTCTTGCAGTTTGCAGATAAGTGCTTTCCTTGACAATAAGAACAGGTAGTGTCATGCAGTCCCGCGAAAAGAGCAGCAGCTGTTCTCGGTTTATTTCGTTGATAACTGGACTTTGACGAAGGTAAACAATGCAGATTTGCTCTTTCTCTAGCCTCTAATTACTGTCGAAAGATTGTCATAAGTTTATCCAAAGACCATTCATCCTCATGCATCTTCTTTGTTACAATAATGCGTAAACCCGGTGGCAGCCTTTGCATCAATATTGAGATCATTAGATTACCATATGTCGCAGTCTCTACTCCCAAAGACTTGAGACCTCTGATATGCGATTCAACCTTGTTGTAAAGCTGTCTAATACTCTGAACATCATGAAGGCTTGTTACTGCAGGTAGTTGAAGAAGTATTTTCTTGTCGCCAAATCTCTGATTTAACACGTCAACTGCTTCCTGATAGTTTGCTGATGTAATCTTTAACCCAGCAATTGCTTCTGCTGCCTTTGATTCAAGTAGGGAGTTCAAATAGTTAAATTTATCAATATCACTTACGTCAGGATTGTCATGAATAGCTGAAGTACAACTGTCCCAAAATGGAGTCCACTCCTTAATATCTCCCTTAAACTTCTTTAAACTCAATTTTGGTAGCATTATCTTGGCCGACGAATGACTTATAGTACTAGAATTATGATAATTCCCTTCTTCTTGAGTTCCTTCTGGACTTGGTGATGGAGGTAGGCTCATAGGGCTCACTACAGAATCAATTCTGACAATTGTAGCATTTTTAAACTATATTATCACTATTTTTGAACTGTTATCTATTTTTAAGCTATATCATCACTATTTTTGAACTATTTTAAACTATATTATCACTATTTTTGAACTATTTATTATCTATTTTTAAACTATAATATCACTATTTTTGAACTATTTATTGTCTATTTTTAAACTATACCATCACTATTTATGAACTATTTATTATCTATTTTTAAACTATATCATCACTATTTATGAACTATTTATTATCTATTTTTAAACTATATCATCACTATTTATGAACTATTTATTATCTATTTTTAAACTATAATATCACTATTTTTGAACTATTTATTATCTATTTTTAAACTATATTATCACTATTTTTGAACTATTTATTGAGTATCATATTTGAAACCTATTTAATTTCTATTCGAGTACATCAATTAAGTATTTGTTTAGAAATATATCATAAATAGGAAAAAAATATGGTTCCACTTGGATAGGAAAAAAATAGCCTTTCTACCCTAATTTAAATAGGAAAAACCTCGAAAAAAAATAATAGTAAAAATAGGAAATAAATACTTTGACAAATAGGAATTAAATAGCCCAATAAAATAGGAATTAAATAGTAATTAAATAGTGTTTGATTCTACAAGGGGTAGCCTCAACTATCTGGTCTTGAATTATACTTTAAAGCCGTGAACAAATAACAAGACAACTATAAGGAATATTCGATCCCTGCTCGGGCAAGCTTTGATTTCAGTGCCGATTTTCCGTATTCCGTAGGAAGAATCGCGATAACCGGCGTCTTCACCACGTAGCAAATTAATAATAGACTTTCTCTATTCTGGTTTCAACTGAATTTCGAAGCCTAAGTACTTGAAATATAAGAGTTCCCTCGAAAGCATTATTAACAGGCGGCATATTTGCGATACGCGACGCGTGCAAAATTATTAGGGCCATTTATACGGGACAAAATAAGTCGCGTCTTACATAAGACGCGTCTTATATAAGCGGAGGTATCGCATAAATGGTTCTCTACGGATTTATTCTTATTTGTACTTTCTATAGCTATAATGTTGTTTCGGTTGTTTTTGTTTTAATATGCAAGGCTAATAATTTTACGTTGTTTCAAGTTTCGGGCATGTGTAGTTAGAATTTTTGTCCAAAATTTCTTATTTAAGACGCGACTTAAATAAGAACAGCTAAATGTCCTGTTCTTATGTAAGACGCGTCTTATCCAAGACGCATCTTACATAAGAATTTTGAACCTTTTATACGACAAACTCGCGTCTTATTTAAGTCGCGTCTTATGTAAGTCGCGTCTTATTTTGTCCCGTACAAATGGCCCTATTGTTGACATTTGAGTTACGTAATTACTTCCGTTAATTAACGAGATTGACCAATGGGAAGCTTTTCCGAAGATTCTTCGGAGAAGAACAAATTAATCATAGGCATTTGGGCAGGCGCTTATTTAACGACGCCCTCTCTTCTCCCGCCCGCACTAAACGCCTGCTACGCAGGCTATATGTAATGCTAATACATAATTGCTGCTGAAGGCAGCCTCCTATTCTTGACGATGTGTTATAGCGCATTTGAATTTCCCGCCAACAGTTTTATAAAGTTGAAGTGAATCTCGATTTTGTGTCGTTCAAGTGTTTGTCGGCAGTTGTGACGTCAAATTATGACGTAGCAGTAAGGAATTTACATTGGAGCATTAGCATACTCCAGGAGTTACGATAGCAAATCGATGACTGCCGAATGCTTTGTTCAGCGATCTGCGAACGACGTACCAAGAATGGCGTTTAAAAATATTTCGATCTCTAGCTTTCCAGCATATATTTAATAACCGAAGGAGCGGAGCAAAGACATTTTTTGTATTTACTGGCCTTATCAATTCAAGTTTTGTGAGAAAGGGAGATCGTTTAGAGGTATGTAAATTTGCACGCTTTTAAGCTCAATATTATTCACAGCAATTTCGACTGTTACGTTTGTAGAACGTGTGCGAAAGCCTAGGCGAAAGCCTAGTATGTTTTTGTTTGGTACTTCGTATGTGCAGGATTTTATAATAAAAACCTTAAATACGAGATAAAATCAGCTTGCCATTTCAAAATTGACATGAAATAACAATTTTTAACAGCTGTATTTACAGTAGATATATTTTCGAATTTTTTGTCATATTTTCGTACACTAATGAGAAATGTCTCTGTGGCCCTGTTTTTGACTCAGCTTTTATACCTTGCTATACTAGCCCAAAACATTGAAAACATAGTCATACATATTAAATAAATGCACCTATGGCTATGAGGATTGTTTCTGCACATATTAAAGTTGTGATACCGCCCGATCTCTTCATGTACACTCAGGAGCCCTCTTTTTATTTATATACAAACAGTTTATTTGTGTTTTTATTTTATTTTATGTTCTTACAAAGCTTGATTGTTGTGTTTTGATAATTTATTATACTCTAGAATCATGAAAATATAAGTTGTCAAATAAAATTCTATATTTTGGATACCAAAATGTAAAACAAAGTCTTTGTTTACGTACAGATTTTACTGCATCTTTAAAATGTAATAACATGTCAAGTTGTCAACCAACTTTTGTAAGGTATGATGATCTGTCAAAATATACCTCTGGGATATATCCATTGTTAGCATAGTAGTAAGTACAATATTCACCAGGCTGTGTCACTATATTTCAGGATATACTATATTTTTCGATAACGCTCTCAATTTCTTTCTTATTACATAGTTTTGCGGTTCTGACTGAGTATAATCTTAGTCATTACAAATGAATGGTGTCATCTGAAGCTGGCGTATTAAACAAAAATGTCAACAAATGGATTTTGTCTCCCAGTCAGCAAAATGTTGAGTTGTTCTGTGATAGGGGTTGCCTTGAAGGTGCCATTAAAATGATAACTGATTTAGTATTTGTAAATATGAAATTGTTATTAAATTCTACATGTCCAATGATTTATTCAAGTATTATTATTGTTTATACATATGGTATTGTACAGTATCAATGGCAAGCTAGCCATGGCAACTGGTCATGCTCACTCATGCTATTTGCTAATAAACATGCAATGCAAATCATTAAAAACTTGCACAGTATAACCAGTTGCTATAGGCTAGCTTCATGTACCACTGACAGTATTATAATTATACATACAAAAGCAAGAAGTTATAAGGAAGTAGCATTAGAATATTTAGCTGACCTTTGACCTTGTGGCAAGGTGTTTGGTATTAATTTAAATTACACTTCCTACCTCCTGAACAGGCGTCT